ATTTTAAGACACTAAATATACTTAAGAAAATATTTCAGGGTACTGAGTGTATCTTAATAAAAATTGATAATATAATAAAAATTGTGTTAATATTAAGGGAGTGTCTGTTTTCATGGAGAAAATGTTTCCTATACCAAAATTGAGTGGTCTTACGGGTAACATCCTAAATATTACACACACAAAAATTAATTATTATTTCAAAAAAAAATAATATAATAATATTTTATTATTATAAAATAATAATATTTTATTTTTTTAAAAAAAAAAAAGAGGGGGAAGGGACAACACATTTAGCTTTCGTGGAAAGCTGAACGTGTATTTAAGAAGAAGAGGAATTTTGGGGGGAAAGCTTTTGACTGAAGGAAGAAAAATATGGAGAGAGCATTAATGAATGAAGAAAAATTGAGGAAGGAGGGTGGAATTTGAAGCATAAAAAGAGAGTGATCGCAGATAATGGAAAGAAAGAGTGAGAGGCACAGAAGGAGAGACCGAGAGCAAAGAAGAGAAGTGTTAGCAGTTTGAAGAGTAATACAAGTTTTGGGAATCATATAGGGACATAAAACACTTCTTTCTATTAAATTTTTCTCTATGAATATTTCCTATATATTTAGAGCTTTATATTAGTAGTATTACTACAACGTTTAGAGAAAATTTTGTGAGTTGGGTACAGATTAAGTAATGATTTTTAACAATATATGACCGTAAAAATTTAGAGATAAATAAGTAGTTAATTTTAACCGGTTTAGATTTGTCTATTTATTACTTATGGTATTTAAAATCAAATTTATGTTGTTGAAAAATCTGTTATTTATTATATATATCATATTTATACCGATTAAAACTAAGTTAAATAATTTATTTGGGTTGTTTGATATATTATTAAAATTTTAATCGGTTTATATTTATTTATTGATTGTTTTGAGAATTTTAAACTAAGATTTTAGTTAGAAAATGTATTATTCAAGATATATTGAATGTTTTTACCGATTAAATTTAAGTAACTTATTTGGATTACTTAATTTATTATTGATATTTTAATTGGGTTAAAATGTAAAATAGGTTGAGAATATATTATTAGACAAATTTTAAAGCTAGAAACTTAAGTTATAAATTGAGATTTTTACAGTATTAGATAAAAAAACAATATTTTTATAATTGTTTATAATTTAAATGAGTTATTTGGGTAGAGGAAAATTATTATTTGAAGTAAGAATTTTTGGGGTAGTAAATATATGTATATATATTAATAATAATAAATCTTATGTAATTGAAGTTATTTATTGGTGTGCATATTAAATTGTATCTATATGATTTGTAGATTATCCTGTACTTTGGAGTCTGTAATTTTGTGCTCTTATTTCTCAAGTTGTAAGGTTAAGCTTGGAGTAGAGGTAACCGGGGTTAATTTATTTTATATACATGCTTTGGATTGAAATGTGTATGTTTTTATTTTCTCAAGTTAATTTGTGAAAGTATGCTTATGAATAAAGTATATTTTATTATATGACAAATTTTGGTGAAGTGGGAAGTATGTTGATTTAATTATGCTTGAGTTGTGTTTTATTGGAAATTATGTTTTCTTGTGGTACTGAATTTAATATACTAATATTATATTATTAAGTGAAATGAAAATGTTTTATACTTTGTTTGAAATTATATCATCTTACTTTGAAGATTATGATATTTTGATTTATATTGTGACTATGCATGGGTGGGGTTCATATGTGGAGGATGGGATTTTGTTATGGGGAGGATAATTGTTCTTGAAGCCTGCGTGGCATGCCTACACTACGGATCCTAGTGTTTGGCCTTTTTGTTAGACCCCCTGTAGTCTTTCCTTTTCCTTGGCCCGGAATGGAGAACGAACTCTTGGGTAGACACATCTTGCATCATAGTCCATTCTTGGATGGTGTAGGTACAGGAGGGGACTCGTTGCTTGATGTGAGTGGATCGACCTTTGGCCGGGTCACTCAACACAGAAAGCCCGGGTCCTTGTCAAGGGGTCATAAGGAGGAGCAAGGTGATGGGAGGGCATATTTTATTGTGTTGTTGCATATATATACTTTTATATGAATTGTGTTGTGGATGGGGAGATATACTCCTTTTACGTGATTGTATCTATTAAAGTATCATTTATTTCTTAAACTATATTTAAGCACTACTTCACTAACTTGCCATCCTACTTGTATATGTCATAAATTAATACTTGGTTACTGGGACTTTACGTCTCACCCTGCTATTCATCAATGCTTTTCAGGAGAGCTACCTAGTTTAGCTCGACGCGAAGGGAAGCAACCAGAGGCATAGGCAAGCATAGCCTAGTAGTCCTCTTTTGGTTTAAGCATGTAATGTTATGTATATTGCCATCTTAGGGCCCACGACTATATTGACATATACTCTCTTTTGTTTGGATGACTGTGTTTGATGGAATGCTGTTAAAATAGGCTATAAGACTCTGCTGTATGTGATACTCTCATGTGTATGACTTGTGGGCTGGGTTGAGCACCCTGTGTTTCTTGTGCCCTAAGTCTTTGTGGGATGAATGTTATGTTGGGGTTGTGGACGGTTATTGTGCCCTGAGGCCTCGTCCTGCGTTTTGTTAAACCCATGGGTGTTTTATATATCCTGAGCCTCTTGAAATGTTTTCGGAATAAGCCAAACTCTTTATAACCATGGTAGTATTTTAACGCTCTAACTCAATTCTTTTTCTACTATGGTTATCATTTCAAAAATGGTTTTATAATTATGTAATAAGAAGAGGTCGTTTTCATTACGCGCTTTGACCGTATTTCATTAAAGCTCTTAGCTTAAGATGCAAAATAGCATTACGAATATTCATCGGGGACTAATTGCAAGATCGATCAATATAATCAATCATCCCACATTGAAAGCACAGACGAAACACAGGTTCATAACTAACATTCCGGCCAAATCCTGCGCAAAAGTTTTAACCTTATACATAAATAAGTAACTGAAGGTAAAGATGGATCAACAAGCACTTGAATCCTCATCAAATGAACATTATAAGATGAGGACTACATAAAGTCAAACTTTCTAAATTTTCCCAAAACATTTCAACAACTTGTGCTGTGGTAAAAGTAAAATAAATAGGAGGAAGACCCTAAACCTAAACCCACAAAGCTATTCGTGTAAGTTGATCTTTATCCAAAAACAAATTAGTGCACCACGGACGTATTTCCATCAAGTTGTTTTCAACGGACCAGAGACCATGTAGCAAGATATATTCTCCGTCCACATCCTTTTCAAACCATATATACCAGGCATTCCCAAAGTTTACAGTGATATGAAATTCACCCTTTAAATGCCATGCATGTTCCAATGCAGATCTTATCTTCTCAATATCCAGTACTTTAATATCAATAAGATAACCAATCAAACACTGATGCCAGAAACCATCAACTTTTGCATTCGGTAACTAATCGACAGCTATAGCAGTTCCTTACATGACATACTGATATTGAACAAAAATGCATTGGGGTGATGCAATCTAAATGACTATAGTCCAGTAGTCGAAAGGATCACTAGCTTATGATCTCACCTGAATAACATAGGCATATAGGATCACGTGTGAATAAGCAAGGACCACCTTGCAAGGCTAAATACTCCTGTTTGATCAATAGTAAAGTAGCATTGTGAGGGAAGGGTGAAAAGAACCCCATCGGGGAGTAAAATAGAAACATGAAACTGTAAGCTCCTAAGTAGTGGGAGTTGAAGTATCTATGGTTTAACTTTTCATTTGATGATTGTTAGCAAATGCAAAAAAAAAAGACCTTCTACTTTGATACCTAAAAAATCAACAGAAAGTTTCTATTTGAAAATTATACGGTAGAGGTGCATCTAGCACTTTGATCCTATTTTCTAGGTGCATTTAGAACCCCGATTTTATTTTTCAGATGCAACCAGCACCCTAATCTTATTTTGTTTAGTTACATCTAATGTCATCGGGGTGGTGCATGCACTAGAAAAATAAAATCTGAGTAATGAATGCATTATTAAAAAAAAATAAAATCATAGTGTTGGATGCACTTTTATCCAAATTTTATTTGGTTAGAAAATGTGGAGAAATTACTTGTACTCTTTAGATTTTTATACCTTTTTCATATGGGATAAGGCGCTAAATTACCTGGAAGTGTACACGAAGGAACAATAGGCACCTAGAATTTTTTTAGCTCTTATATATCTTGGAAGTTTTAATAGCATTTTTGCCTTGAATTGTTATCCTCCGTTAACTTTGACTGTCAAAGACACTGATCAAACCACATAATTTAACATTTAAACTTAACGGCAGATAACAACCAGGTATTTTTGCTATGAAAATAAACTTCCATGGCATATATGAGCAGAAAAAATTTTCAAGTGCTAGGTGCTTATTTGTGTATACTTTCGTGGTATTTAAGCATTTTATCCCTTTTCATATTTCAAGTTTTTCTAATTAATAAAATTTTCAAAAAGAAAAATTTCACTAATTTTTACAAAAACACATAAATGTCTCCCTAATATTCCCACCATCTAATCTCAGTTATTTCATGGATTGAAAAATAGCGAATGAAAAATTTATAAAAATTACATTTCAACATGAAAGTCCCAGCTAAGATGCTATTTCTGAAATTACTTAGTTAAATCTAAGATGTAATTAAAAAAGAAAGAAAATAAACCCATCGAGCACTTTAAATTTTATTAATTAAGCATACTTACTAAATGACCATTAAATTTCTGAAATAACTCGTAGTAATACGAAGTGTTACATATTATGCATTTGCTGTGAAAATACAAGTGAACTCGAAACAAGTGGCATCAAAAGGGAAAAAAAAATACAATAGATGAAGAGAAAAATAGATTAAGGTAAAAAAGAAGAAGATAAAAATAGATAAAACCCGCCTTATGGGATGTTCATTGTTTCGTGGGAAAATAAAATATCTTTAGGAAAATGCCACGCAAGACCGGTTTATCAACCTCATGAAATGTCTCTCAAGTGATCAAATTCAAACCACGAACCGTCCCTGCACTTTCTGGATAAGATTCAGAACAAGAATCCCCCAACTCAAATCAGAACCTGAAATCCCACCCTCAAGTTAACCATGAAAACCCTGATTTTCGCATCAAACCCAATTCTCCATCTCTCAGAACCTCCCATCAGAAAACCCAAAACCCAAACTTTTCAACCCAGCATCACCACCACCATACTCAAGGACAAATTCAAGTCGCACGCAAATGCGAAAGGCTTTTCAGCTTCAAACGGATCGATCGGATCGACAAACAAGAAGGCGAACGAGGAAAACAACAAGAAGAAGAACGACGATAACGATGAAATACCTCAAGAAGTATACAACAGAATGATAGTGAGAATCTTAGTTTCAGTGGGGTTTCCAATGGGGTTGGGTCTGGCATTTCTTCAAATATTTGGTGTGCTAAAGGAGAAACAACTCTGGGATGTGCCTCTATGGCTTCCATTCACAACAACTCTGTTAACATTTGGAGCTTCAGCTCTTGGAATAGCTTATGGATCATTGTCCACTAGTTTTGATGCAGAGAGGAAAGAGTCTCTTCTGGGAATTGAAGAGGTTCAGAGAAACTGGGTTGAGATGTGGAAGGAGGAAGATGAGAGCCAGACCTGACAGAGTCATTACCCATTTCAGAAGGTCTATAGTCTGTAGTGTGTTGTTATGAATTTTCCGTAGATTTTTGGGAATTTTCTGGGAAATACACAATGCAGGTTATTTCATTCTGTATTGCCTGTAGCTGAATCTGATATAATGTTCAACCATTGCTTGAACTTGTGCGGAATATGGTTTTAAGAACGAAATTAAGAGAGCTTAGTCTAGTTTATATACCGTAAATAGCTTTATTAATAATATTCTTAATGACGGCCTTGAACTGAATTGTACACTGTAATATAAAGTTTCTGGCTTGCCGTGGAACTGAAATTAGCAATAGCCAAGGATATAATCTGAAACGCCTCAACTTATTTCCTAGCCTTGACTCAGTTTTTTTTAAAAATAAAATTAAAGGGCAAGTTCAGAATTTGGAAATAATAAGATTACAAAACATCAAATTAACAATCTACGCTAACCTGTGACCTTCATCTGGCATTACTAGCAGAAGAATTTCTAACGAATCCGTGTATGCTAAAACGAAGCTAGTAGATGCCCAGGAGAACTCATATTAAGGGCTTGTTTGTGAAAGCATTTAAAACTATTTATAAACACGTTTTACATAAATCGAGATAAAATTCTTCTTACATACTTACATCGTATTTAGTAAATTACAATTCAAAAGCTACTTATAAGCTATTCCAAACAAGTCCTAAGAAGGTAAAAAATCTTGAACTTATATATTGCAATGCAAAGAACTTGAATTTATTGCTTCTTCTAACATTCTAATTTTGGGCCTAGAAGGGTAAGAAATAACCTGAAATGGGTACGCTATCAGACCCTAATTGATAGAGTTTGAGAAGTTTCTTAAAAAGATAAGAAGGATTTTGAGAGACCAAGTTGCAAAGAGAAAGTTTTCTAGGACTAAGAGACAATAAAGTTAAAGTTCATAGTGAAAACTCTAGGGCTAAGTAAGAAGAATGAGGATGAATATAAGTCAAAGGTCATACTAGAAACCTTAAAGAGATGATTAAAACTAGCAGGGACCTAATTGTAATTTTGTAAAGTTTCGGGCCGAAAAAGGTAATGATGGAAAATATGCCCAAAAATTCTAGAAAATAGGAAATAAGGTATTAAGGCCCATTTATGGTTTGAGAATGACAAAAATGCCCCTAAATTGAATTTTTAGTAAATTGGCTAATTGTGGGAATTTTGGCTGATTAATGAAAAATTAGTTAAAATCAAGTATTTAAAATATGATGAGGCCTCAAATAATCAGACAAAAATGAGAAAAAAATAGTTTGCAGATTATGTCAGATTGTAAAATTATTCTTGACCCTTGGAAGTACAAAAATTTTAAAGAAATTTGAAGTCAAATTTTATAGAAAGGAGGGTATCTGAGAAATCTGTAAAAGAGGTATTTACAAGTTAGGCTTTGACCTAAGAAAAATTAGAGAAATTTCTAATGAAAGGGAGTTAGTGAAGTAGAGGGATAAATTTTTGAAGCCAAGAAATATGAGAAAGTATTTAGTCAAAGTTACAGTGGAATAAAATAATTTGGTGTTTCCTTTAAAAAACGAGAATGTTTGGCATTATTATATCATATGAAGTTATTTATGATGAGAAAAGGGTGTCAGAACATGTATCAGTGATACCAAGTATAACATCCTGAATTTTGGGCCTAAAAGTACAGGAAATAGCCTAAAATGGACAGGTGGCAGGATTCCTAGAAATTTTTTGAAAAAACAAAAGGATTCTCATGGACCAAATTGTAAAGTGAAAGTTTTGTAAGACTAAGAAATGAGACAGATAGAGACTCTAATGAAGTCTCAAGGATTCAAGTAAGAGGACTGAAAATGATTAAGAGCCAAAAGTTATGTTGAGAACCTTAGTGAGAGGATTTCTCAGGTTAAACTCGAGCATGGACTTAACCATAAATTTAAAAGTTTCGAGCGGAAAAGGACAATAGTGGAAAGTACACCAAAAAATTCTAGAAAAATGGGAAATGAGGTTTTGAGGCCCATATGGGGTTAAAAATGACAAAAATATCCCTAAAGCAAATTGATGAAATTTCTAGGGTTTTGGCTAATTATGAATATTAGCCAAAATTGAATTATTTAAAATATGAGAAGGCTTAAGATAATTAGAGAAAGACAGGGATCAATAGTTGAGAAATTATCACAGGCTTTAAAAATAATTCCGTCCCTAGAAAACGAAGAGATTAGCTTTAATAGAATTTAAAGCCTATTTATGCACTATTCGGAAAAAGTCAAAATAAACTATCCAAAGGTTGACTTTTGACTTGAGAAAAATTAGAAAAATTTCCTATAATGAAAAAGTAGTATTAGTACACAGAGATATATTCTCAAAGTTATAGATCGATAGAGAGAATTTGATCAAGTTTACTTCGAAATAAATATTATTAAATATTTTAATAGAAGAACAAAAGGAAAAGCATCACTTTCTCTTTAGTCATGTTATATAATGCCATGTGAGGTTTATTGTGATGGGAAAAAAAAGGGTGCCAGAGCATGTCCTAGGGTTACGGGGTAAGCTAGAACCCAAAAAAGTACCTGATAGATGTAAAATCATAAAATTATCGGAGGAATAGTCAAGGGTATAAGGGAGCATGAATTTCTTCCTACTTTCCTCCTTATTTTGATGCAAACTTGATGAGGGGACATGAATGAAACAATACATTTTGTTAAGGATTAAATTTGAAAGAATGGAATTATATAATAAAATATCATGCTTTTTTCACATGTGCAATAGGTGAAATGTGATGTGTCTTATGAGGTGGCACTTCTATTGAATGAAGGGGACACCTAAGAGGGTTATGTGGCAAAAATCAAAAAGCTAAAGGACATATGGCCAAAGAAATTAAATGAATGGCCAAGATCAAACCACACACAAACAAGATCAAGGGCTAGAATTTAAGCAAATGTTTATAAATATCTCCTCTCCCTATTTAGGCCAAGATTTCAACCAACACAAGAGAAAAGCGAAGGAAAGGCTGAAAATATGAAGAGAAGAAGGAGAAGATAAAGATCAAGGGAAACCATGCAAGATCAAACTCCAAAACAAGATATGTTCATAGTTTTTGATGTAGTTTCCATTACTTTTGTTGTTGTTGAGTTTGGTCATGGGTTTTGTTGGATTTTGGATGCTTGAAACCCTAAGGGGACATACTGCATGATTATAAGTTAACGGGAGGATGAAATTGATGTTAGAATAATGTTTAAAGGCCTGAAAGGAATAATAATCAAGTGATTTTGTGATGAGTTTGCAAGAAAACCAACTTCTCCCTAACCCTTGAACAATTTTAGCGAGACTTAGGGTTCATGTTAGGATTAGATTTTGATGATTTTGATGCTTCCAATATGTTTAGAATGAAAAATTGTGTGGGGTAAAGGTGAGAAAGTAAGTTTGGAAGCATTAAATATTGAAAATAGAATTTTGACCCCTAAAATCCTCCGCCAAAGCTAATTATAGGGGAAGGAGTTGGATTTTGTTTAATTTGAGTTTGGAAATGGATTCTTATGAAAAATTATGTGGGAATAGTATGTACAATTAATTTTAGAAAGATTAGAAACAAGCTCAAAAGTTAGAAGTCAAGATAGTTTGAAGAGAACAAAGTATTGATGTTGTTTGTTACCCTGGCTCTAATGAATAAATGACAATTATGTGTTGATGTTCTTAGGGTCATGAGTCATCAAGGAAGAAGAATAGAAAGGTTGATCAAGCAACCTTGATATGTTGATATGCATTATGTTATTTGATAATGATAGAAGATGCAAATGCAAGTATAATGCTTTGTTTCTTTTATGTTTTCTATGGTCATGCTTATTAATGTGAAATATTGAGCATGAGAACATATTATAAGTAAGTATAAGCTAGATCAAGTAAGCAAACCATACACTTACATCCATCTTGCATGCATTAATAGTAATGTTTGCTACTGAGATTCTTTCGAATCTCACCCTCTCTTAACCAACCCTAATAGGTGATAATGATCAAGCAAAGGATGCATAAAGTGGAAGCAAGGAAAAGATGAAAAGAATTCAAGAAATTTATTGTATTACATTGTGTAATTTGTATGCTAATGTATGTTATAGATGTGCCATTGATGTTATGTGATGAAAAATGATGATGATGGCATGTATAATTGACTATGATGATGTATGGGAATGGTTAGTGCATTGATGGAATGAGGATATGCATGAAAAGAATTAATTATGTATTATTAATACAAGTTAGGGTGATAAGTTATCCCTAAATGAGCCAGGTAGAAGTAAGGCAAACAATAGAATTTACTAGTGAAATTCAATTTGCTTAAAGTATACATCTTGACTTTAAAACAAGTAGTAGATCATTTCAAATGGATATATGTGCTAAGAGTTATGGCTGCTCAAAGTCAGGGCAGAGAAACTGAAAAGTACTATTTTTACTGAATGAACAATAAACTTCCACGAATTGGCAAGTGTTAAGTCTAGATTTATATTTTTTCCCTATAGATAATTGAAAGAGCTTCAAATAGAATTCTGAATCACCTTAATAAATTTTTTTTTATAATTAGTTATGAATTTTCAAAGTTGGACTGAAAATCTGGAATTCACTAGTGAATAGTAACTCAAGTAACAAAATTTTAAATTTTTAATCTACGGGCTTGTTTCACGGTCTGCTTGAATTGTAAAGCTTTCAGATGCACACTAAATAGGGTTTAAGGAAGGATGTTTCACGAGGTAAGTCAAGACCTGAAAAAGTAACTAATATACGATGTAAAATTGTGAAATAGGTAGAGGAATAGCCAAGGTTATAATTATGCATGAATTTCCTTTTATTTTTCTCCTTATTTTGATGATAATTTAATTAAGAGAATAAGCTTGGAATTATACATTTTGTCAAGGGCAAAACTTAGAAAAGGATTAAAATAATATTTACTAATTATATGTTAAATATGCAAAGACACTTGGCAAGAAGAGAATGTGCATGAGTCTAACATTATGCCATCTAGCTTGATGATGTAAGGGAGATGGTGTAAGGAAGATGATGTAAGGGAACACATGGCAAAACAATGCCTAATCAAGAGACACATGTGTTATGGTAAAATGGTAAAGGTAACTTGGATTAATCAAGGACAAATAGTAACTAAAGTATTATAAATACCCCTTTTTCCTACCTATTTGTGTGTTTGGATGGCTAAGAGAGGGAA